GTTCTGTGATTCTGTGATTCTGTGAATAAATTCATTTGTGGCTATAGGCACTTGAGAAATACAAGGTAAAATCACTAAAAGATAATATGAGCATTTTGAGCTGCTATAGGGGTGCAAAGCAGCTATAAATCTATCTTAAGCAGCCAATTACTGCTATTTCGCATTGCCAGAGCAATGTAAAGCAGCCAGGGGATCCTGGTGACTCTGCATTTAGTTTGACAAGTACCATAGAAACATCTATAGAGGAACACTTCCACATTCAGAGCGGGTTGTGGTTCATGTACTTAAATGAGGCTTGGGGTCACAAGCTATACACGGAGAAAAAGAAAACATGAACAGATGCTTCATTTGCTAAACATTCATCCCTCTTATGAAGTGAATGAGGCAGAAAAACATTTTGTACCTGTGCAGTAAAAAGTCAAAATCTCAGTACTGCTCCAGGCAACTGAATTGCAGTTGCACAGACAACTTCTCTTGTTATTTGCTAACTACTTTAGTGGTTACTTGACTGGTTTAGTGTAATTTAGCTTTCATGTGCCCTTAATTTTTTTTTTTCCCTAATGTTGACTCTGATTTCTAGAGCTCAGAACATACTTAAATAGTTTTAAAAGAAGGTCTGATCTTCATAGGTTGTCTCCTGTTGTCATTTCCATTGATGTGCTAGGAAGAGTTTGACAGAAAATGGGCAACCTCTATTTTAGTCTTTAGGTCCCACTATAGGTACCATTAGGACAAATGAATATACAGCTAGCCCCCTATCTGTAGCTAAGTTTTCCAAGAGCAGTGCTGGGAAAATATAGAACTTTCAAGACTAACTTTGACTGTCTCGTTAAAAGAAAAAGATCATCTCAGAAACATTTTCTACTACTCACAGTGGGACCTGTGTTTTACAAGTGCATATGTAATGTTCTGGGCTGACATGAGAAGAGTTAAGCAAACTAAGGTTAATACAACAAAAACTGCCCATAAGTATTGCCCCTGACTTTGATCTTGTCCTATTTTAACTGACTTCTCATGAATATTCACAGGGCCATATGCTAAAAGCTTGCAGGAAGTGAATACAGATTTGTATGATTGCATACGCTTGCAAAACTTCACTGCAAACTAAATTGTGAAGCTTTTTTTCCTCCCATAAGCCTGATTTCAGGGCTACATACCACAAATCAAGGAAGACAGGTAATGGCAGGTGACTTTTCGGCACTAATCACAGCCAAAAGTCACGATGCTCTATTCATATTCATACTGCCCTCACTCTTGGGTAGGCATACTCAACTCAGTGAAGATACGCTTGGAAGAATGCCATTACTGTTATCAAAATCTTGCTCCACAACAGCTTCCTAATAATTCACATTTATAGACATCAAATGATCAAAGAGATGAAATGCACTAGAAAAAAAAATTCTCTAATTACTCTTCAGCTGCAGAAACAGTTCATCATGAGCATTGGGAAGGGTTTCATTTCTTCTCAGCAGGATGAAAAATGATAAACAATAGCCTTTTTTTCCACCAACTGCATTGCTGATGGTGAAGAAAACACAGGATCAATATACTGCAAAAAATAGTGTTTCAGTAACAAATTATTCTTGCTCTGTTTATTACATGATTTTTTTCATACTGAATCCCACTATTTTCATTGCTAAAAAAATTGAGTTCTTTTTAATTTTCAGATATTGCAGGAGATACATTCAGAGAGTAACATCTAATGCATTTTCTTGAAGGAAGGGATAATGCAACAGGGGAATAGGTTTTACAGTTTTAAATTCAACAACAGACAGCACAGGGACACATCATCATGCACACAAGGAAACAAAAAAAGTAAGGGTAGGACAAAAATGGTTTTTTACATTTACTTTCTCCTTTCTAATGCACCTGAAAAAGTTTGGCACCTTTTATGTTAAGAAAAAAAAAGTCAAAAGAAAGCCCTATCTCTTAGTACTGAAGAACTGCAAATATAAGAGGGAATTTTGAAAGCCAGTACTAAGAGGAGCAAGGGTAGCTTTGATGACAGCTCTGTCTCAGTTGGGCACTAACTAGGGCCCTGGCTACATCCCAGCTAGGAAAGCTCAGTTGGCTTTGGGCTCCATATAAAGAGTCCATAAAAAGTCCAAAGGCAGCAATTTCTGGCAAAGACTGAAGGAAATTAATGCAGAGAAGGGCAGCCCTACATCTTCCTCTTTACAAATGAAGGGATTCCTGATCTCCATGATCTGCGGCTTAAACATCAACTAATGAGATTGACAGGGCAGAGACCCCCCCAAACACACAAAAACACCAGGGCAATGTATAGATGACTAAATATCAATCTACACCAGCCAATTAAACATAACTAGTGGGTCAACCTATGACCAAATTCCAGTCATATGCATTATTGATCAGTGCATCAGTTTACTACAAGCAAAACAAAGAAGTAACAAATTACTGTGGATTTGAGGGTCTTTCGTCAATGTTTCACACGTGAAGTCTGTCCTGAATAAACACTTGCCTGCAGGGCTTAGTCCTGCACTGAGATCTTATGTAGAGCCTCACTTCCTCAACACAGAGGGCCACCTGAAAGTACTGAAAGCATTCCCTATATTCAGGTATTTAAGCCTTTATGCTTCATTTTATGCCCACTAGAAAGCTGTAATGTATAGTACTCCTTGACCTGATGGGATAGAACAAACCAATATTTAGAAAAACTGGTTATTTGATTGTCATTCATGTCTAGTTGCACTCTACACATTACAGCATGACTACATCCTCACTAGTTAGTGCTTCACATTGTACTTATGTTATATTTTCTGCAAAGGATGTTCGATGTGGGTGGACAGCGATCAGAGAGAAAAAAGTGGATTCATTGCTTTGAGGGAGTTACGTGCATCATATTCTGTGCAGCACTCAGTGCCTATGACATGGTTCTTGTGGAAGATAAAGAAGTGGTGAGTCAGAAGAGACAAACTACCCTTTTTGCTGCTATGTTATAATGTACTCTCTGATGGCATATCAGAACTATTCCTGTTCCCTGATAACCATTTAAAGGTGATTATGCTGTACTGGTTCTTGCCAGTAAAGAATATGACAGTAAAAATTACATATGGGGATGAGATTTGTCAGTCTCTCATGTTCACCTTTTGCATCTCAACAGAACAGAATGCACGAAAGCCTTCAGCTGTTCAACAGCATCTGCAACCACAAGTGCTTTGCAGCCACTTCCATTGTGCTGTTTCTAAATAAAAAAGACCTCTTTCAAGAGAAAATAACGAAAGTTCATCTCAGTATCTGCTTTCCTGAGTATAATGGTAAGTTCTTGGTTTTCAGAAGAAAATTCAGATTATCAGTGTAGGCCAACTGAGAGTTGGGCTCAGGTCACCTATATATAACCATTTACATGCTAAGCGTCTTGCCTAAGCACCTGGCCTTTCTCTCAGAAGAATGGTGTGGGACAGACGTGGCCAGAATCCAGTTCATCTCACCTGCTCATGACGCTTGTCCTAAGGTGGGATCTTCTCTCTCCGGAGGTGCTTACTTCTCTCTAATGGTGGTAGAGGAAGCTGAGACTATCAGAAGTTTCAGATGGCTGAGTGCGTGGTGTGATGAACCCAGACAATATTTCAGTACAAGTGCGTGGCTTGTCACCCACACACACCATAACTGAATCCAGTATTTTTGCCCCTATTTTGAAAAACCATTCCATACAGGAAGTCTGCCTCTTTCTGTAGTAGTGCCTACTAGAAATAGAAAACAGCAGCTGTTCCAAGCTGATGCAAGACCGTATGTGAAGCTAGGTCAGAAAGTGACAGAGAAAAACCAAAAGCTGTCAGAATTTTAGTATTAACTTAATGTATTTGTGATAGAGAGTGTCCAGAATGAAATATACCTAAAGAAACATTATTATTAGAAGGTGGTTTCTGTGCATTTCCTGAAAACCACCTCCTTCACCCCATTTCTTAGGACACATCAACACAAAAATTGCTCACTGGGATAATCAAACATTATGTGCTAGACTCAGATGGGAGCCAGCAAGGCTCTCAGCAGCAGCCTGCCTCCAAAATCTCATCCTGCTCTGGACCTACAGTGAGTTGGGGGTATCAGTGTTCACAACTGTTTTTGTTCTAAAGGAGTATTACTGAAAGAAATTACTACTGAAAATACAAGCATCTGAATTGTTCCCTTTTTCCCCTCTTCCTTTATCCCTTCATTTTTGTACTTCCCACAGATTTTGTCTGGTATCTACCTGATTCCCTTTGAATTTATGTTCCTTTCTTTTTTCTTCTGTTTCTCTCACTTTCTGCTCCCTCTCTATGTCCTCAGCTGGTTCACACTGACTTACTCAGGAGTATTTCACTTCAGAAATTAGGACTTCTGGTTAGGTGTTTAAATTTAAATTTAGGTGGGCATTTTAGATACAAAATTTTCATACCTAATTGTGCGGGTTTTGGCTGGGACAGAGTTAACTTACTTCACAGTAGCTAGTATGGGGCTATGTTCTGGATTTGTGCTGGAAATAGTGTTGATTCCCAGGGACGTCTTAGTGATTGCTGAGCAGTGCTTACACAGAATCAAGGCCTTTTCTGCTTCTCGCATCCCCTCACCAGTGAGTAGGCTGGGGGTGCACAAGAAAATAACATCCCTGTATTAATTTTGATTAATTTAAAATTATTTAATATTAATTGTTAATTTTCCTTAGAAAAAAATAAAGAAAAAAAAACACAGAAAAAAAATGTTGTTTCTTAGCAGCTGTGAGGAAGTACCAGCTGAAATGTGTCTTCTCTTTCTTTTACTGTCTCATCCACTAGGACTAAATACATTTGAAGATGCTGGAAATTACATCAAGAAACAATTCCTAGACTTGAATATAAGGAAAGAAGATAAAGAGATATATTCTCACATGACATGTGCCACAGACACCCAGAATGTCAAGTTTGTATTTGATGCAGTCACAGACATAATAATCAAAGAAAATCTAAAAGACTGTGGACTTTTCTAGCGATTCCTTTCCTTGCTCATAGCCTGACTTCATCTCAGTCTACTTTCCTCTCTTCATCCTGTGAGCCGACTGAAATAAAAAACTCCAGTGAAGAAACAATATCAATTAGGCTTCTGTTAGCTGTCAGCTGAAGACTTGGGTATAGCCTGAGTGTTGCAGACCAGCACTGAATTTCTGTATGTCATAAAAAGATTGAAACAAATGTCCCTGCTCCACAGAGATGCCAGCCGCTGATAAAACCTACTGGAATCAATGGGAAATTCTTAATTTAATCAATATGATCTGACAGTAATCAACACTTCTCAGGAAACTGTGGACACCTCAGTATCCTGTGTTTTCCAGTGATGGGAGAAAAAAGAATATTATATGACAGATAATTGACTTTTATTTATATTTGAAGCCTTAAGAAAGCTGTAGCATTGAACAGTACCAATAGATAATTTCCATTCAGTACTCTTGTTTTCATGTTACATACACAACTAAAAATTACGTACCATTAACCCAACAAAAGCAAACCCTCCAGACTTGACTGGTGTATGACAAAGAGCAGTGCAAATCTGAAAGTTTAATTATTCTCTTTTCTTAGAAGAGCTGAGGGACATGTACGTAAAACTGCACATGTATAAATTTCACAGATGCTGCTATCCAGTTTGGAAAAAAAACCCCACAGTAATATAGAAGGAAGCTTTCTGAGTCCCTGAGGGAGCATAAAATATTACAGTAACTGTCAGTTCCTGCATAGGCCATAAAAGCAAGTTGAAACTTTTTTTAAACAATTAAAAGACCTGCTTTTTTAAATAATAATTAATAGTCCTGCTACTGGACAGCTTCTCTAGTGCCCTACAATTGCAACAGTCATTTCCTTCAGTGCAGAGCAAATGTAAACCCATCAGTCCTCATGGCAAAAACATAGCCTCGGGACCTTGGCACAGAGATCCATTCTCTATGAGGAGTTGCTAATGAAGATCTGCTCCCCTCTGTCTCTTCCTGATTTACTGTGACTATAACTACAGAAAATATTTAACTCTGTTAAACAGAATGGGAGTTCAAAATATATTCAGTTGAATTTTGAAATTTGGTCTAGAAACAATACTCACTTTTGAAATCTGATCACTGACAAAATGTTTCCTTTTTTTTTCCTTTTTAAAAAAAAAAACAAACTCAAATTTAAATCTATTTTTCACCATACACTCACTGTGTGCTGGATAATCTAACTATTGAAAACACTAGAACCTGGTCACTGAACACCTGAGCCCTGCACACTGTCCCCATGAGCCAGGTCGTGGGTCTGTGCAGGTCTCTGGCCAGCAGTAGAGTGTGGAGAGCTAAAACACATTGCGCACTGTCTGGATTTTTATTGCCAGCTGCTCTGTAATGCTTCACTTGTTGTTTGCATAAAAAATAATGAATTCCTAATAGTAAGGTTTCTGGATTCATTCACAGCAATAAATGTAATTTAAAATTATTAATTTTCACTATGGTGATATCAGCACTAATTTCTGGATGGCATAATAAAGCCAAGGTCTTTAAGGTCTCATGAACAAACACATCTCTCAAATGTATTGTTCAGGCAAACACCTAAGAAATCAGATTTTACACCAAAGCCTGAGAGTTCGTACAGGTTTGCCTGCGGAGGCTGGGTTTCCCACCCATGCTGTAGTTTGTTAGACCCCCTGAGTTTGCCTGAGTTTGTGGCAACCCAGCGCTAGGAGCAAGCTCGGAGCTTTCTGGTACTCCAGGAAAAAGAGTGGTGGCACTGGACTCCTCCCCAGGAGGCCACGCTGTGGGGGGCAGGACAGGGTGTGGGGAGCTCCCCAAGACGCCCGGCTCGCATCTCCGCCTCCCCCTCCCGGCTGCATAAAATTCGTCTGTACGCAGCGCTGCACGCCGCTGTGCTGCAGAGGTCTGCTGGGGACAGACCGACCAACACCGACGGTTGGATCCCGAACGACCCCGACCCTGGAGGAGCTGACGCAGCCACCCG